GTTTCTTTCACGATGTATACCCTGCTATATACAAATCAAATAAAGAAATGATGTTTACCTACAAAAAAAAAAAAAAATAATAATAATAAAAACATTTTAATAATTTTTTTAATTAAATTATCTCTAATAACAATATTATAATTATATTAAAATATTGAAATATATATATATTTTTTAATTTTTAAATAATTATTATATGATTTCATGAATTCAAGCAACAATATTAAAATCTAATTAATAAATAAAACTATTATTATAGTTTTATAAACTTAAATAGTATAATCAAAACTTAAATCAAATATTTTTTATTTTAACAATTTTAACAATTTTATTTTTTCTTTTAAAAATTTTTCTAAACTTAAAAATTTTTTTATTAATAATTGTAATAATTTAATTATTTATATATATAAATGAATCATTTATAAATTACTAATAGTTTTTTATTATTTATTTGATATTTTTTTAAATTTAAGATTTTATATACAATAGATTATAATTAATTTCTATAAATAAGTAATATAGGATTCTTAATATAATAATAATAAATTAAGTTTAATAAATGTTTTTTATTTAATATTTATTTACAATAAAAAAATAATACTTGATTATATAAATATTTAATTTGTTTGTTTGTTTTGTTATATATTAATTGTATTTAATATGTTTTTGATTCTTTATCTTCAATATATATATCTAGTATTCTGACTGATTGATTTAATAAGAATATTTCTATTGGTTAATTTTGAATCAAAATAATTGAAAAAGGTGTTAATTTAGCTTTATAATTTAGAATTGTGAAATTTGATTTTGATATATTAATATAAATATTATTGATATTAAAGAAGTCTGAACAAATATTACATATTTTTTATAATTTCTAATGGTTGTTGATAATGATTTTTATATTATTCATAAAACTAATATGATATTAATTGTTTAATTGTTATTGGTGATATTGAAGGTTTGAGAATTTTGTTGTTAATTTGTAATCTTTAACTTTAGATATATTTCATAATATTTTATTATAAATTATTATAAATTATTAATTTTACTTATGTTTTCTATATAGTACAGTATTTAATTATATAATTTAAAAACAAATAATTTTATAATCGCGGCATATCCAAAAAAATTTTTAAAACTTATTAATGGATGTTTCGTTATTTAAATATATTATCTTAGTACTTTATATTGAGTCATATGATAAAAAAATATATTGCATTTTGTTTCAAAATGAATTAATAATAATCTTAAATTAATATGTCTTTAATATTAATCCGTTATCTCTATTTATCAAGTATTAAAAGCAATTTTTTTAAATGGAAATCTTAAATTGTATCGAATAACTAATTAGAACAATTTCCAACATTTTCTTTTAAAAATATTTTTTATACTGCTACAGTGATATGTTTTTTTCGAATGTTATCTTAATTGAGAATATAGGTAATAGTGTTAAAGCTTCTATATAAATAGTATATAATCACGTTTTACGTGTATAACGTCATCAATATTGTTTTGATTTTTATTGAATATAAATATGATTGCTAGTTTAAAAAAATAATACTTTTCATCTGCTTATTACTAAATCATATAAATTCTACAATCACACGAAATCTCTTTATCCCGTGTTTAGTTGGCATACGGTAAGCAATTTATTGGTGAATAATTTTTTCTCTAAACAACATGCCGGGTTTTACGTTAAATCAGTCACATGATCAAAAGCGAGCATTTTTCGCCAAAAGCGACGACCATTTAATTCGTTAATCGAGAAACTGTTAATCCAATAGGCTGGAGCAAATCATTCTGATTTTGGATCGACAACAATTTTCCCGTCCCTTCAAAATAAAGGTGGGAATTACCCTTGCGCCTTAGTGCATACGTAAAATTTCTTTAAAAGAAAAAAAGGTTTTGTTATTAAAGGCCCAGAAATAAAAAAAGATGTCAACACTTCCAAACGAGATTTTACAAAAGATCTTCAGAGAGCTCTTTCACTCCGACGCACCATTTCAACTTAGTTACCGCGATTTATTCAATTGTACGCTGGTTGATCGTCGGTGGTGCTCCCTCGCCGTTCCAATTTTGTGGACCGATCCGTTAAGGCGCTTGGACGTTCTCAGTAAACCTTGTAATCTCATCGTCACAACATATCTGTCCTTTATGGACGACGTGGAAAGAGAAAAATTAAATCATGTGCTTGGTCCAATAAGTTTACCGAGTAATGCGATTTTCAATTATCCTTCTTTCCTTAGAATTCTTGATATAAACGCTTTCGACATGGCTGTATCTAGATTCATCTGTTCTTTTGAGATCCGAAAAAAAAGAGAAATGTCGTCTCTAAAGATTTTCTTATTGTGCGCGATATTTAAAATTTTGGAAAGTCAATGCACAAATTTGAGAGGACTTTTGATCGCTGTTCACTATCCAGTATGTGATATTCTTCCATTGCTCAATGATAGTAAACTTCGATCGTTGGTTAAACCTGTTAAGAGGATGAAATTTGAAATTATCGATAATAGTGATCACAATCTTTCATTGTTGGCCGAAAGCGTTCATAATCTGGTAAGTGATTATTTCCTTATACGGTTTGCGAGATCACGTGGAATTTAACATTTTACTATTAGGAATATCTCGAGTTATGGCAAAAGACCAGCCAATTAAGCAACCCAAAAAAGACCATCGCCAACATAATTTCCTTGTTACGTTCCCAATACTATCTAACCAGTCTGAAGATCGGAGGTTTATCCAAAGGCATCCATCAAATTATTTCTTCATTGCCAACTCTTTCTTCCACATTGTTCACTATTGATTTTTCACACATCAATTTTATCGAATGTGGGCCTATGCGTGGGTTGGCAGCTTGTGAAAAACTCGAAAAAATGAGTTTTTATTGTTGTGAAAACTTGACCAGCGAGATGTGGAGACCACTTACGAAGGTGCCGATGAAGGCACTAGTGGAAGTGGTTTTGTATGATACTCGCGGAGAATGGATGAATGAGTGGAGTAAAAGAGAATGCGTCAAGATTTTGGAGGATATAATTTAAAGATGGGATTTTGGAAATTGTATTTCTGCTCTGTGATGAAAGCAGGTGGCACGAGTGTTGGGTAGAATCGTCAATTCGGAGGTACAATGGAGTGGTTATCGTCTACTACTTGTGTTTAGTGAAAGTTGATATAAAATAAAAAATATATATTTAAATGAAATAAAACCCTAAAATTATTCTTGCAGTTAAAATTATACTGTAATTTCATCAATGATTTGTATCACTGTTATATATGGAACACATGATATGCAGTATATAGTATAACAATTTTATAATGATAGATGATTGACGCGTCACTATGATACATATTGATTTAACATTTAATTTCCGATTTTCTTCGGAAAATTGATTTATTTACAATGAAGCAGGTAGGACATTGTCTACATGTCTTCACGACTTTCGGATCTAGTAACTCTCGACAACTATAGACCAAATTTTTTGAATCAAGATAAAATTAAATGAAATCTATTTACGTGCTCGAAATTAAAGGTGCTACAAAAAAAAAAGTACAAAATCGAAATTTACACGAACTTTAGCTATAATAATAATAATAATAATAATAATAATATAATATAATAACCTAATCTCGTAATTTATAACTAATTTTAGTGACGTATGCGTCGATAATGAATTATTAAATACTACTATTGCTAACAAAAATAACAAAAAGCAAACACTTCAAAAATTAAATAATTAATATTTAGAATGTAGAACTGATGGCATCTACCAGTGGTATGTCGGATTCTTGCAATTCTAAAGCTTCTAGCACGTCCAACGGCACTTCGTCAACTCTTGTTGGTGAAAAAATTGAGGCAGAGATCGGCGACGAAGATCCTGACGTAAACATTGCCATTTTTTTATAAGTGACTGCTTTGTAATATAATATCCGCAATTGATCCTCCATATATTCAAGACACTAGATTGCAAATCCATAATGAAAATGGATAAATAAATGATAAAGGAAAAATAAAAACCTGCTTGTTAAATCATACATACCGATTCCGCCGGAATATCTGCCTTATTGTACAATTCCTTGCACTGATGTAGCATGGTGAATACATATTTAGAGAAGTGCAGCGGAATAAAATATCCGTTGCCTTCCCTTATGTGACCCTTCTGGACCGTGAACGAGGAACCTCCATTGTGAAGATTTTCATGTTCATAACCAAAAACAGAAACTTTACTAGTTAAAAGCAAATTTCAAATGGTTAAGAACCAAATGGAAATGCATGTGCAACAGATATTCGCATTAGACGTCTAATTTTATATTTACAAGGATTTTAACTGTCCTAAAATGCAAATTGATCTCGAAACTGGATCCTGCGATGAAAATGGCTGCATCTAAAATTGATTTTCCATTAGAGCGTGATGATACCAAAGATTTTCAAAATCTTTTCAGTTCATAATATATTAATGCACCTGCAAAGAATCCTTTAGGTCGGTCTCCAGTGCATCTTGAAAATCGTACTGAGGAAGGCCCATCAACACAAAATCAGGCATGTACTTATCACAATGACCGACCATCAAAGATCTTCCGTACGATTTGGCAAACAATCGATCAGCACGATGCGGAATTTTTGAAGTGTCATCTTCTCTATTCAAAGACGGATCGGGTATTGTAATAGGGGGCTGTGATCTGTACCAAATTAAATATTAATTAATTTTCTAGATTAATCATTGAAATATTTATAAGTGGGACATGTATAAAATACACAGATTTATGCGTTTATTTTCTTTCAAGAAATATCCTTCATACTTTGGCATCGGAACATCCAAAAAATCGTCAACGAAAATATTAGTGAAAGGGGAATCTATTATTAAACTCTTTCTTCGATTTTCCGTGCTCGATCGTCGACCACAATAATTAATCTCTTTTCGGAAATCATTTTCCGCACTATCATCTACACTCTGCCTTTTCGTCTGATTACTATTAACTTCAACACACGACATTTCCTTTTCCCCGGGATCTTTTGCGGATGCTTCTCGTTGGCTTCTTTCCGACCTTCCTAAAGATCTCCTGCGTTCCAAATTCAGGTAATCTGAAGGTGACATGTCCTCTACACTTTCATTCACCTCGTTGCACCTCATAAAGTAACTTAATACAAACAGAATGCGACGAACTGTATTCACATCACTCCCGATGATGATCGTTCGACTCATTGTTGGCGATGTACCTATATTACCGTACAGATCACTGAATAAATTCAACAGAAAGTCAGAAACCATCATGTCAAGAAAAAAAAAATCATTCTTGAGATCACGATGTATTCGCGGGATAGATGTACCCTAGTTGAGCCCATAATGGATCATAAAACAAATTTTTATGAATCTGTTCACAGATTACGACTGGATTAGAAAACCGGCGAAAAATTTAGATCACTATTTAAGCAATAGAACAAATACCCTTTCTTCAACATCAGCCATAGGGACTACCGTCGGAATCCATGCTAGATGAGACATTAGCACACCGCTGATAAGAGTGGACATGAAACTAGTTGAAAAAAAGAAAATGAGATATTGAGCAAGTAAAATTTGAGAAGCGATTTGTAAGGGTGGAGATGGTTGCACTTTCAATCACTTGTTCTTTCTCGATGACAGATACATACTTAACACTTACAAATTTGAGCTAATGTTGTCAAACTTCTCTAACAGATAGGATAACTCTTCTAACAAACTCTTGGCGAGTAAACTTCTTTTTTGCTGAAATGTTGAGATGTTCAACCATAAAGGCTATTTAAGCGGGAATGAGGCGAATGACAATTGTTAGTATGATTGCCACCTTTCAATGCACACACATTAACGGGAAGCGACGTTTTCCAAGTTCATAAGATCGAGCAAGTTTCATCACGTTATTAATACCTGTATCCGCGGTGTGCTGTATAACTGATACATCGAAGTCCTGAACTTGTTTACCGCTTCCAACCATGATGGCTCTTGTTGTAGCGAAAATTCTGGTAATGATAACATTGAAATTTTGTATCGATTCTATGGAGTAAAGACCCGTGTTAAACAACGAATATATATAAGGATCAAGAAGTAAACATAAAAAGTCTAAAGACATACTGTGTTAATCGTCAACGGGGGTTGTGATTTTCTGAGCAAATGGCAGAGTACTCGGAATGCATTTGATTGAAGTTGATGTAACTTATTCTCTAACAAGGCGAAGTGTGAGAAAACAAAATCTTCCAAGAGTTCGTTGTCCTCCAATGATATAACGATGCCCACAGAATATATCCAGGAACGAACAGGATGCTTAAAATTTAGCTGAAGAACAAATATATAATGTATATTAAGACAAAATTTTCCCTTAAGTCAGTTGCGGTTGTACACGTCACTTTTGTGCCTGAACAGACTCACATTGCCACCAAAAGAATCAAATCGCGACGAACATCCAGGTAATGGAGTGGGATTGAAAATACCGTTTTCAATGCTTGTCTGACTAAATCTCCGTATCCTTCGATGATGGAAAGTAGTTGTGCTTGTCGAGAGAGACAGAGATGAAGACGAATTTAATGTGAGGCTGTTATTTCTCAAGCCGAAAGTCGATTGTCCAGAATTGTACATCGATGGAGAAGATATGGCATGAAAGGGATCCTCATCGCTTGATCCAGAGCGATAGCCGGAGAATGTTAAGTTTGTCATCTGATTTGACTTCGGAACATTTGTTTCTAAATTTGAAGGATTTATTGAAAACAACTTTGTCAACAATATTTGAGGTTTTGGTGACTTTATGTAATGAATTTTCGTCGTCATTCCCTTATATGATAGTGGAACCGTTCCAAACATCATTTCACATATTAAGTCAATATTGTGAGCAGCCTGGTTTTTAATGTGAAACAAAAGTTTTAGACTTGGGACCTGGAAGCACACAATTGGATTAACGAATAGAATATTCACCTTCCTCTTTTGTGGCACATAGTCAGAGTCGAATAAAGTAAGCTTCGCCTTGTCTCCCGTGTCTTGACAAAGGATAACCCTTATTTGATTTGTTCTAAAAGGAGGGGGTGACCAACTAATAGAATAGAATTTGGAGGACCCAATGAAAATCATTTAAAGTGATAAGATAAATTGAGGTGTAAAAATTGAAAATGATTCATCCATTCATGATATCAGAATTTTCCCCAATTGCCCAATTGGATAATAACAATTTATCAATCAAGTCTGAAAACTGAAGTACACTCATTCTTTCGCCAACATATTTTCTCGAACGTTTGCATTAATAAAAGAAAAAATTCTCCCAATATAAGATACGTACAGGTCAGTTTCCAATAACGCCCTTGTGTGCTTGTCGTCCTCTACCTCTTTGGGAGATTTCGATTTCGGTCGGAAAAAAAAATACATATTTCCTTTAAAACGGTTTGAGCGAGCGAAGAGATACAGTATCTCCGTTTTGGATATTGATTTAGTAATACATTTTTAAATTCGGGATGGTTAGAGGTCAGCTGTCAAAACTTGTTACTTAAATGGAAAATGATCAATAAATGGTTTACACGCGACAGTCACATGGTACGGGTGGACGTATCAAGTGTGGAATTAAATTTCTCCCATATCACATGTTCGGTCTTTAAAATGTTCGACCTAATATTAGCTTTCCTGGGCTTTTGGGTAGTCGTTCACACCTTCTGTCATCTGATCCGACAAAGATTTCACTCAAAGGTATCTTGATAGGTCATTTTTAATAAGTGAGACTTTGCAACAACTTCTAATAAACTTGTGATATAACCGGTTTTATAGCAAAGCCTGACGAATAACTTTATTCGAAGGACGACGAATGCTCCCATATCGCTATACCACCAAACAGCTTTTAAGCCAGCATACCATATTTCAAATCGACCTTTCAATGTACGATTTTGGACCAATGTACTCAATCCGCGCTTCGAGTCCCTCGCTAACCGAACACCCAAATTCTGGAGAATCTGGTTTGACGTTGGGGTATTCGTCGGGCTGCTGACCATGATTGCTGGGATCATCATAATGACGGTGGCAGGTTGGAGGCTATTGGTTGAGTTATTCGGTGTCTACTGGAAGGTTGAGACCGAATTTCCTGAAGTTCAAACAAAATTTGTAAAAAGGGGTTTTGAAGACGAAAATAGCGTCCAACATGAGAAAGACAAAAGCAATCAAGTTTTCGTTCCTGTGGTGAGTTATCATGTCAATAAATTTCGTTATAGATGCAATAATACTCACGTCAGAGATTTGGATTAACGGTTTCTTCAGATCCCCGGCATCACCTTACCAATTTCACATTTTGCATATTACCTCATTGCGCTATTGATATGCGGAGTGATTCATGAAGCGGGTCACGCGATTGCGGCCGAAACGTGAATAATTGCAAAGTTTGCATTTTTGACGACATCCTCCTATAGTGGTTAATATTGACATTCAAAATTTCACTAGGGAGAAGCTAAAAATCGAATCTACAGGATTATTCTTATACATCCTTTATCCTGGTGCATTCGTGGAGTTTAATCTAGATTCCTTGGAGAGACGTGATTGTCGTAAAAAACTTCGTATAATATGCGCCGGAGTCTGGCATAACATAGTGGTATTCCTGATAGGTTATCTTGTGCTCAATTCTGGATTTTTTGTTGGTTTTCTAAGTCATACAGCATGGAGGTCAGTCGATGGTATAGGGGTCAGCGTTGTTTCTGTCGAAGAGGCAAGTCTGGTAATCTTTCCGTGCTGAACATTACTCCATTGATCCCAGTGTTTCTAATTATATAATACGATGAATGTAGAATACCCCTTTGTTCGATTATATCCAGCCTTCTATGCTCATAACAAAGTTAGATGATTATGAACTGATAGAATCTCTAGATAGTTGGAACAATTACTTGCTGGAAAGATCAAAGATGAATGTTAATCACGCCGGATTTTGTTCTTCCGAAAGGGATATAATGTCATCGATGGATTGCTGTGAAATTTCGGAGGATCACCCTTATGGAAATGAGAGAGACAAAGGCATTTCATGTTTCAAGCGGATTGACAAGAAAAAAGAGGTTTAACGCGTTTCGCCATTTTTTCTGTATTGTAATGCGTGTACATTGCTCAATCTCTGACAATTTTTTTAAGGAGAAAGTCTGTCTGAAAACCATTCCCATTCTCGTAAATGTTAACGAACAACGGTGTTTCAGAGATGATGATTGCGATCGAACCCTACCTATGTGCGTGTTACCATACACACCGACTGGATTTCCGAAACCGCTTAGAATTTATTATAAAGACGCTCCATGGTCTGAGAAGGAGGACGCAGAGAACGAAAAGGTTCTTTTGTTTCTTGGAGAGTTTGAGGACGTTTGGGAAATTGGTTTGTAATTTTTTTCGCCAGTATGACAATACAAACGATTTGTCAAAGTCGATATGCTAATTTAAGTAAATCATTGGAACTTGTCAACAATAAAAGTACAGGTTAGCAGCATTCAACCCAGATGGTCATGGGTGCCCCTATGGATCCCAGAATCTTTGGAGTTGATTCTAAGGTATAAATATAGCTTAATGACTGCACTTGATTCTATCTTTCTTAATACCGATAATTGACTCGGCGTAAATATTACTTTTTGAAACTTAGATACATTACATCATTCTCGTTAGCACTGTGCGTTATAAACATATTGCCAGCATTTCAATTGGACGGGCATCATGCCTTGAGATCATTGTTATCGGCCTATTACGACCGAAGTGAAGGTGCATCAACCAATAATAAGTCAAAGGAACGAGAAAAAAGGATAGAAAATGGAATAATCTACTTCGTTACAGCGTTAGTTGGATGGGTGGTTATAGGAACTCTGTTTTCGGGATTATTTTAATGATATATGTGGAGATTGGGGTTATCAAATGCGAAGCTTATGGCCTACTTTCGTAGACAATTAAATTATTATTTTTTTTAAAAAAAAACATAGACGTAGTAGTTGCAAAAAAAAAATGGCATTTTTTTCATTTGTAAAAAATTTTATTATGAAAAAAAATTTTTATTAAATTAATATTAATATTAATTAAAAATAAACTTATTAGTATTTAATATTGATGGAATTATATATTTTGTTATTTAATCTTTTATCAAGTTCAAATATTAAAAAATCAGTATATTTAAAATTTTATTAAATATTCTAATAAAAAATTTTATAGAAAAATTTTATAACTTTATAGAATTATAAATAAATTATAAAATAATTATTTATTTTTGTAAATATATTTATAAAAACAAAATTTTTTTTTGTTAATTATAAAATCAAAACTTTAAGTTATATTATAACTTAAAATTCTTTTAATTTACTTTAAATTTTAAAATCTATAAATTAATTAAAACTATATGTTATTATTTTTTTAATTGATATTTTAATATTTAAAATCATTATCATATTAAAATGTCTATATATAATATATTTAAATATTTATAAAAAATAATAAAGTGAAAAAAACTTTTTTATTAATTCTTTTATTAATTAAAAAAAAAATAGATATTTTTAAAAGATTTTATATATTTATAATAATCAAGTTTATATATATATTTTTAATAATATTGATTTTTTAATTAATAAAACAAGCAGCAATTATTATTTGGTTTTGTTTTTTTTAAAAAAATACTTTTTTGGTTATTTTTATAATTAAATACAAAAATCCCCATACAAGAATTCCTTCACGAACTGTATCCCGAACATTATAAGGATCCGTACTATCCCAGATGTAGTCTTCGATCAGAAACCATCTTTCACATTCTCGATTATCCTGAAGCAAAAGAAGAAGCCAAGCAAATCATCAATTCAATCAATGCAGTCTTTCACCCAGACAACAGCAATCACCCAATCTACAACACACGACAAATAGTAGAATTAGCATGTGGAATCACCACCAATATATTTTCTACAGCTGACATTCACAACTGGATCAAAGCATCTACCAAAGCCCTTACTATGTTCTACAACCTCAC